ATGAGTCAGTGTGCATAGTAGGGCCATTAACTTTAGAATTTTGAATGACAGTGTGTTCCTTGTGAAAATAAGAGATTTTATTCATGAAAATTGTGCCAAATGCAGAGAATTGTGTGTAGTGTTTTGAAAAAAAATGTGTTTTAGAACTGCAATTTGAGTGTAAAGCAGGAATTGTGCTTGTAGTTTAGCAGAATTGGTTCAGGGGGTTGGTGCATGACTTACATGTTGTGGTCATTGTGTCTCAAGTACCAGTATTTGTGTGTAAACAATTGAGAAAAACTGTAAAACATGTGAGATCAGTTCAAGTGTCAGAGCAGTGTTTCTTCTCTTCATCACAAACAGAGCATCTCATTGGTTCATCAGTTTATCTGTGTCAACGTTAATGTTCAGCTCATCTTTATTTTTTTCATTTTTCAACTTTCCTGAAAGGTGGCGGCACGGTGGTGTGGTGGTTAGCACTGTCGCCTCACAGCAAGAGGGTTGCCAGTTCAATCCCGGGCGTGGGAGCCCTTCTGTGCGGAGTTTGCATGTTCTCCCCGTGTCAGCGTGGGTTCTCTCCGGGCACTCCGGCTTCCTCCCACAGTCCAAAGACATGCAGGTTAATTGATAACTCTAAATTGTCCGTAGGTGTGAATGTGAGTGTGAATGGTTGTCTGTCTCTATGTGTCAGCCCTGTGATAGTCTGGCGACCTGTCCAGGGTGAACCCTGCCTCTCGACCCGATGTCAGCTGGGATAGGCTCCAGCCCCCCCACGACCCTCAAGAGGATGAAGAGGTTAGAAGATGAATGAATGAATGAATGAATGAATGAATGAATGAACTTTCCTGAAAGTTTTTATCAGAAACGCCAAAATCATGTTCAGGAACAGAAAACCACAACAGACCACAGGTTTTGTTTCAGTCACAGTATGAAAGGAAACATAATCCTCTGAGTGTCTCTGTGTGTCTCTGAGAGTCTCTGTGTGTCTCTGTGTGTCTCTGAGAGTCTCTGTGTGTCTCTGAGAGTCTCTGTGTGTCTCTGTGTGTCTCTGAGAGTCTCTTTGTGTCTCTGAGAGTCTCTGTGTGTCTCTGTGTGTCTCTGAGAGTCTCTGTGTGTCTCTGTGTGTCTCTGAGAGTCTCTTTGTGTCTCTGAGAGTCTCTGAGTGTCTCTGTGTGTCTCTGAGCGTCTCTTTGTGTCTCTGTGTGTCTCTGGGAGTTTCTATGTGTCTCTGAGAGTCTCTGTGTATCTCTGGGTGTCTCTGAGAGTCTCCAAGTGTCTCTGTGTGTCTCTGAGAGTCTCTGTGTGTCTCTGAGAGTCTCTTTGTGACTCTGAGAGTCTCTGTGTGTCTCCGAGAGTCTCCGGGTGTCTCTGAGAGTCTCTGTGTGTCTCTCAGAGTCTCTCAGAGTCTCTGTGTGTCTCTGAGAGTCTCTATGTGTCTCTGAGAGTCTCTGTGTGTCTCTGAGAGTCTCTGAGTGTCTCTGAGAGTCTCTTTGTGTCTCTGTGTGTCTCTGGGAGTTTCAATGTGTCTCTGAGAGTCTCTGGGTGTCTCTGGGTGTCTCTGAGAGTCTCTGAGTGTCTTTGGGAGTCTCTGTGTGTCTCTTAAAGTCTCAGGGTGTCTCTGTGTGTCTCTGGGTGTCCCTCAGGGTCTCACCTGGAGGTCAATATGTAAAGTCCTGGTCCTGGTGCTGGAGGACAGGGAGGAGGAGGCCAACCAACAACATTTACAGAAAGTCTTTCAGACCAAATGAAAACCTGTCCAGAGTCAAAAACACGTTCACTCTGTCATCATGTCTATTTTTATCCTCTGTAACGTGAACATGTGATTTTTGTGTTTTAACCAAATTGTGGTTAAAAGTTAAAGATTTTTTTAATTCTCAAGGCTTCATTCTTAAGAGAGCAGGAAGGACGTGTCTAGAATGTGTGTGTGTGTGTGTGTGTGTGTGTGTCTCTTTGTTATGCCATGTTCACACTACATGACATTTCTGTCCATTCTGACAGTCACTATGTCACATTACGTGATTGTGAAGCCATAAAATCGTGCCGTGACTTGGCCGACAGACATGACAGACAACACGATGGTACACACCAGTCACCCCAGGTCATCCTTCAATGATAATGTAAAAAGTGCCACCAGATGGGCGGAGCTACATTTGAAGCACCACACTGACGTCACTGAATCCTCCACAGGAAGTTCCTGCAAATGTTTCACAATAAATACCTGTTTAGAAAATGAAGGGATTCACTCAGCTTCGAATTTGAAACAGAAACAGGAGGTGTTGCGGATTAAAAGTAAAATTAAAAATATAAAAATACAGAGGGAATAATAAATAATGGCCTGTTTCTAATGTAGTGTGTTTGAAATGAAGCTGGAAGCCTCTGCAGTTGTGGTCAGTGAAAGCCACTATATTTTAATTTTCTTACTTTATATCCTCCATTATGAATAAAGAACGTTCTTTGCTAGCTTGATGCTAATGGCAGTACTCAGCATCTTCATAAAGTGCCTCTGCTGTTTCCTTTTTACTCTGTGTGCTAACGTCCCTACAGGAAATATCGAAAAGGCTGGGGTGTTGTTGTCCTACAGTTTCCATGGCAACAGACCGCTCTGTGCTCCTATTGGTCAAAGTGACAGCTGTGACGGGAGAAGTCATGGAAGACAAAAAGAACATCAAACATGCTAGACTTTATGTTGGGACGTTATGAGGCGTCCCAGACATGGCTTCGGTTGTCGCCTACTATGACACACTACACGAGATAAAACCATGGATTATCATGTACAACACTCGTTCACGATCCATGCCGACACCGTACGACGCTGTGTCGGGCTGGAACCAGGCTGATATCATGTAGTGTGAACCAGGCATTACAGTGTGTGTGTGTGTGTGTTACAGTGTGTGTGTTGAAGCGCATGGTCTCAATTCATTGGTCCTTGAGTTCAGGTGTTGAGGTGTCGTTGAACTGATGCAGACCAACATGATTGTGTGTGTCCAGGTTCTGTTAGAAGAGAACACACAACAAAGACAAGAGACGCTGAGAGTGATGACACCTCCTCCTCCTCCTGCTCCTCCTCCTCTTCCTCCTTATCGCCCCTGCAACTGCTCTCTGTGTCTCCTCTCCACCTGCCTCTCCTCACTGCTCCTCCTCCATCAGGTGAGTCTGTTTTCGTCTCCTCATAAGCATCTGATATTTCAGAATTTGTAACCTGGATTAAGATGATCCAGATGATGAAATCTGGGACCAGGTGTTCAGACGTAATCTGATAAAATCTGGGTTTTATGATCAGATCAAATCCTGAAAATGAGATGTTCAAAGAAAAATAAGATTCTGAAATCAGATGAGATCATGTGATCCAGTGATGATGTGATCCAGTGATGGTGTAATCCAGCAGTGATGGTGTAATCCAGCAGTGATGTGATCCAGCGATGATGTTATCCAATGATGATGTGATCCAGTGATGATGTTATCCATTAATGATGTGATCCAGTGATGATGTTATCCAGTGATGATGTGATCCAGCGATGGTGTAATCCAGCAATGATGTGATCCAGTGATGATGTGATCCAGTAATGATGTGATCCAGTGATGATGTGATCCAGTAATGATATGATCCAGTGATTGATTGTGTGATCCAGTGATGATGTGATCCAGCGATGGTGTAATCCAGCAATGATGTGATCCAGTGATGATGTGATCCAGTAATGGTGTGATCCAGTGATGATGTTATCCGGTGGTGATGTGATCCAGCGATGGTGTAATCCAGTAATGGTGCAATCTAGTGATGATTTAATTTAGTAATGATTTGATCCAATGATGATGTAATTCGGTAATTGTGTGATCCAGTGACAATGTGATCCAGTGATGGTGTAATCCAGCAATGATGTGATCCAGCGATGATGTCATCCAGCAATGATGTGATCCAGTGATAATGTGATCCAGTGATGTTGTAATCCAGCAATGATGTGATCCAGGGATAGTGTAATCCAGCGATGATGTTATCCAGTGATGATGTGATCCAGTGTTTGTGTGATCCAGGGATTGTTTGATCCAGTAATGATGTTATCCAGTGATGGTGGAATCCAGTGATGATGTGATCCAGTGATGATTTGATCCAGTGATGATATGATCCAGCAATGGTGTAATCCAGCAATGATGTGATCCAGTAATGATGTGATCCAGTGATTGTGTGATCCAGTGATTATGTGATCCAGTGATGGTGTAATCCAGCAATGATGTGATCCAGTGATTATGTGATCCAGTAATGGTGTGATCCAGTGATGATGTTATCCAGTGGTGATGTGATCCAGCGATGGTGTAATCCAGTAATGGTGCAATCTAGTGATGATTTAATCTAGTAATGATGTAATCCAATGATGACGTAATTCGGTAATTGTGTGATCCAGTGATGGTGTAATCCAGCAATAATGTGATCCAGTGATGGTGTAATCCAGCAATGATGTGATCCAGCGATGATGTCATCCAGCAATGATGTGATCCAGTGATAATGTGATCCAGCGATGATGTTATCCAGTGGTGATGTGATCCAGTGTTTGTGTGATCCAGCGATTGTTTGATCCAGTAATGATGTTATCCAGTGATGAAGTAATCCAGCTATGATGTAATCCAGCGATGATGTAATCCAGTGATGATGTGATCCAGTGATGATGTGATCCAGTGATGGTGTAACCCAGCAATTATGTGATCCAGCGATGGTGTAATCCAGTGATAGTGTAATCCAGCAATGATGTGATCCAGCAATGGTGTAATCCAGTGATGGTGTAATCCAGCAATGATGTGATCCAGGGATGATGTAATCCAGCAATGATGTGATCCAGTGATTGTTTGATCCAGTAATGATGTTATTCAGTGACGGTGGAATCCAATGATGATGTAATCCAGTAATGATGTGATCCAGTGATGATGTGATCCAGTAATGATGTAATCCAGTGATGATGTGATCCAGCAATGATGTGATCCAGGGATGGTATGATCCAGAAATGATGTTATTCAGTGACGGTGGAATCCAATGATGATGTAATCCAGTAATGATGTGATCCAGTGGTGATGTGATCCAGTAATGATGTAATCCAGTGATGATGTGATACAGTGATGGTGTAATCCAGCAATGATGTGATCCAGGGATGGTGTAATCCAGTGATGATCATGTGATCCAGTGATGATGTGATCCAGGGATGGTGTAATCCAGTAATGATGTGATCCAGTAATGATGTGATCCAGTGATTGTGTGAGCCAATAATGATGTTATACAGTGATGGTGGAATCCAATGATGATGTTATCCAGTAATGATGTGATCCAGTAATGATGTAATCCAGTGATGATGTGATCCAATGATGATGTGATCCAGTGATTGTGTGATCCAGTGATGGTGTAATTCAGCAAAGATGTGATCCAGGGATGGTGTAATCCAGTAATGATGTGATCCAGTGATTGTGTGATCCAGTAATGATGTGATCCAGTGATGATGTGATCCAGTGATGGTGTAATCCAGCAATGATCTGATCCAGGGATGGTGTAATCTAGTGATGATCATGTGATCCAGCGATGATGTCATCCAGTGATTGTGTGATCCAGGGATGGTGTAATCCAGTAATGATGTGATCCAGTGATTGTGTGAGCCAGTAATGATGTTATTCAGTGATGGTGGAATCCAATGATGATGTAATCCAGTAATGATGTGATCCAGTAATGATGTAATCCAGTGATGATGTGATCCAATGATGATGTGATCCAGTGATTGTGTGATCCAGTGATGGTGTAATTCAGCAAAGATGTGATCCAGGGATGGTGTAATCCAGTAATGATGTGATCCAGTGATTGTGTGATCCAGTAATGATGTGATCCAGTGATGATGTGATCCAGTGATGGTGTAATCCAGCAATGATCTGATCCAGGGATGGTGTAATCTAGTGATGATCATGTGATCCAGCGATGATGTCATCCAGTGATTGTGTGATCCAGGGATGGTGTAATCCAGTAATGATGTGATCCNTGTGATCCAGTGGCAGTGTGATCCAGTGATGGTGTAATCCAATGGTGGTGTGAGCCAGTGATGATGTAATCCAATGATGATGCTATCCAGCAATGATGTGATCCAGTAATGATTTGATCCAGTGATGGTGTAATCCAGCAATGATGTGATCCAGTGATGGTGGAATCCAGTGATGGTGTGATCCAGTGGCAGTGTGATCCAGTGGCAGTGTGATCCAGTGATGGTGTAATCCAATGGTGGTGTGAGCCAGTGATGATGTAATCCAATGATGATGTTATCCAGCAATGATGTGATCCAGTGATTGTGTAATCCAGTGATGATGTAATCCAGTAATTATGCGATCCAGCAATGATGTTATCCAGTGATTGTGTGATCCGGTGATGATGTGATCCAGTAATGATTAGATCCAGTGATGGTGTAATCCAGTTATTATGTTATACAGTGATGATGTGCTACAGTGGTGAAGGTATCCAGTAATGATGTCATACAGCAATGATGTGATCCAGTGATTGTGTGATCCAGTGATGATGTAATCCAGTGACGATGTGATCCAGTGATTGTGTGACCAAGTGATGATGTGATCCAGTGATGATGTAATCCAGTGATGATGTGATCCAATGATGACGTAATTCAGTGATTGTGTGATCTAGTGATGGTGTAATCCAGTGATGATGTAATCCATTGATTGTGTGATCCACTGATCGTGGAATCCAGTGATAATGTGATCCAGTGATGATGTAATCCAGTAATGATGCAATCCGGTCATGATGTGATCCAATGATGACCTAATTCAGCAACTGTGTGATCCAGCAATGATGTGGTCCAGTGATGGTGTAACCCAGCAATGATGTGATCCAGCAACGGTGTAATCCAGTGATGATGTGATCCAGCGATGGTGTAATCTAGTGAAGATGTGATCCAGTAATGATTTGATCCTGTGATGGTGGAATCCAGTTATGGTGTGATTCAGTGACGGTGTAATCCAGTGGTGGTGTGATCCAGTGATGGTGTAATCCAATGATGATGTTATCCAGTAATGATGTGATCCATTGATTGTGTAATCCATTGATGATGTGATCCAGTAATGGTTTAATCCAGTGATGATGTAATCCAGTAATGATGTTATCCAGTGATTGTGTGATCCAGTGATGATGTGATCCAGTAATGATTAGATCCAGTGATGGTGTAACCCAGTAATTATGTTATACAGTGATGTATCCAGTAATGATGTCATACAGTGATGATGTGATCCAGTGATTGTGTGATCCAGTGATGATGTGATCCAGTGATGGTGTGATCCAGTAATGATTTGATCCAGTGATGGTGGAATCCAATGATGATGTGATCGAGTAATGATGTTATACAGTGATGATGTGATCCAGTATTGATGTGAGTACACTGGTTTATACTGATCTGTTTAACAATTACTGTGATGTAGTAGATTAAGTAGACATTAGAAATCACAATAATAATAATAAGAATAATTTTAATGTTGTACCCAGTTGTTGTGTTCTCTTTCACACCACTTGTGGTGATGGTTAGTAGCTGCAGTGTGGTTGTTGGCAGATGGCCTCCATTGTGATGTGTAGTCACTTTTGGATGCTGGTTACCCAGATTTATTTACCTTGAAAACATAGTTTCTGGATCACGATGATCTCCTCTGAAAAACCAGCACACCAACATGACCAAAATAACAACCAACAATCAGGTTCTGGTTTTGGATCACGTGGAGGAGGTGAATCATATTCTGCTGATTGTGGATCAATAAAAGGTTCTAGTTCTTGTTCTGTTCTGGTTCTAGATGGAAGAGTTTTGTGTTCTGCTGCAGCTTTAAACAGAGCTGTGCTCAGTGATTGTGGTCGACGCAGACATCAATCAATCAATCAATTTTATTTATAAGCCCAATATCACAAATCACAATTTGCCTCACAGGGCTTTACAGCATACAACATCCCTCTGTCCTTATGACCCTCACAGCTGATCAGGAAAAANATAAGCCCAATATCACAAATCACAATTTGCCTCACAGGGCTTTACAGCATACAACATCCCTCTGTCCTTATGACCCTCACAGCTGATCAGGAAAAACTCCCCCAAAAAACCCTTTAACGGGGAAAAAAATGGTAGAAAGCTCAGGAAGAGCAACTGAGGAGGGATCCCTCTTCCAGGACGGACAGACGTGCAATAGATGTCGTACAGAACAGATCAACATGATAAATTAACAGTAATCCATATGACACAATGAGACAGAACGAGAGACAGAGACAGAGAGAGATGCAGGACAGACGATAATGACAGTATCTTACAACGACATTAATGAAAGTAATAAAATTTTAATTATAGTCACTGCTTTTGTGGTACAATAAGTTGAAGGTATATATTAATGTATGATAGTATAGAATTAGAAGTATGACTAATGATGGCAGCAGCAGCAGGAGGTATTTGGCAGGACCACGGCAGCAGCACAACCACACACGTCACGCTTTCCAGGCACCGCTGCAATACGAGTTAACCTGAGAGACAGTGGAGCACAAAGGCTCCGGAGAAGAAGCCGAGTTAGTGACATGCAGTACAGCCGAGTTAGCAAGATGCAGTAACAGGACATGAGTGTTAGCAAAGGGGAGAGACAGAGAGAGAGAGAGAGAGAGAGAGAGAAGGAGAGAAGGTGCCCGGTGTATTATAGGGGGGTCCTCCGGCAGACTAGGCCTAAGTCAGCCTAACTAGGGGCTGGTACAGGGCAAGCCTGAGCCAGCCCTAACTATAAGCTTTATCAAAGAGGAAAGTTTTAAGTCTAGTCTTAAATGTGGAGACGGTGTCTGCCTCCCGGACCGTAACAGGAAGATGATTCCACAGGAGAGGAGCCTGATAGCTGAAGGCTCTGGCTCCTGATCTACTTTTGGAGACTTTAGGGACCATGGCGTCTTTATGACTAAAATATGAAGATGAGGATGAAGAGTTCCACGTGTTCATTGAAATCTGCTGTTAATATTTAATTTCAGAGAGTCTGCAGAGGAGAACCATTAACCTGGTTCACC